TAATTTTTCTACGGGACCTGAAAAAAACTACCCCAAAACCCAGACATGAAGCATAGGCCCCATTAACCCATCAGACCTCAGGCCCGCTTAACACACAAAAAGGACTAGGCATGCATATGCAATCATATGCACACACACTCACATAACCCCTCAGTCCTCCCCTCAGACCTGAAACCAAGGCCCCACTTAACCCCTCAGTCCTCCCCTCAGACCTGAAACCCAGGCCCCCCCTAACCCCTCAGTCCTCCCCTCAGACCTGAAACCCAGCCCCCCTTAAACCCCTCAGTCCTCCCCTCAGACCTGAAACCCAGCCCCCCTTAACCCCTCAGTCCTCCCCTCAGACCTGAAACCCAGGCCCCCCTTAACCCCTCAGTCCTCCCCTCAGACCTGAAACCCAGGCCCCCCTTAACCCCTCAGTCCTCCCCTCAGACCTGAAACCCAGGCCCCCCTTAATCCCTCAACCCTCCCCTCAGACCTGAAACCCAGCCCCCCCTTAACCCCTCCCCTACAGAGCAGCAGCACTAGCTGAGTAAACTACAACCACAGACATAGGACTATACATGATATACAATCATATGGACACTCTCCCATATACCCACATATATGTGCACTCATGTAAACAGATACATACATTGACCACTACTAATGTTGATAAGTCTGATATTATGATGTTGGCATTACAGTACTCATATAAGAGCTAGTCACTGATTGGCTGAAAAGACACACTCAGTACACAGGAAACCCACACTGACTTCCTGTTGTTCAGAGTAGCTGGGTGTGTCTCAATCTCCTACTTCCTGACTATAGGTATAAAGTCCTATAGACCTACTTTAAGCCTCTGTATAAATGTATTTTCTTCAAGGTTTAAAGGTCAACTCAGTCATCAAAATGTGTGTTTGTTTCTTCATAGAGTGTCTATAGGTCTCTTAAGGTTGTCACGATCGTCTGAAGGAGCGGACCAATACGCAGCGCGTGGAGTGAACATGATGACTTTATTATTTAAAGCAACCACGAAGAAAACAACAAATGACGATACGTGAAGTTCAAATACTGATACAGACTAACAGCAACACGGAAACAATAACCCACAAAACAAAGGAGAAAACACACAGAATATATATGGCTCCCAATCAGAGATAACGAGCCGACAGCTGACACTCGTTACCTCCGATTGGGAGTCATAGACCAATCACCATAGACACAAACAAAATGAAACTCACCCATCCCCAACACCACCAAATGAAATACACCCAAACACATGAAAAAGAACAACCCTGGCTCAATTATAAAGTCCATAGAGCCAGAGTGTCACAGTACCCCCCCCCTAAAGGTGCGAACTCCGGGCGCACCAACATCAGGACTAGGGGAGGGTCTGGGTGGGCGTCTGTCCACGGTGGCGGCTCTGGCCCCGGTCGTGATCCCCACCCCACCACAGTCACAACCTGCTTCGGTAGCCTCCTCCCAATGACCACCCTCCAACTAACCCCACCTGGACTAAGGGGCAACACCGGACTAAGGGGCAGCATCGGCCTAAGGGGCAGCACCGGGATAAGGGGCAGCACCGGGATAAGGGGCAGCACCGGGACAAGGGGCAGCACCGGGACAAGGGGCAGCACCGGGCTAAGGGGCAGCACCGGACTACGGGGCAGCACCGGGCTAAGGGACAGTACCTGACTGAATGGCGGATCCCGGCTGGACGGCTCTGGCGGATCCCGGCTGGACGGCTCTGGCGGATCCCGGCTGGACGGCTCTGGCGGATCCCGGCTGGACGGGCTCTGGCGGATCCCGGCTGGACGGCTCTGGCGGATCCCGGCTGGACGGCTCTGGCGGATCCCGGCTGGACGGCTCTGGCGGATCCCGGCTGGACGGCTCTGGCGGATCCCGGCTGGACGGCTCTGGCGGATCCCGGCGGGACGGCTCTGGCGGATCCCGGCGGGACGGCTCTGGCGGATCCAGGCTGGACGGCTCTGGCGGATCCTGGCGGGACGGCTCTGGCGGATCCTGGCTGGACGGCTCTGGCGGATCCTGGCTGGACGGCTCTGGCGGATCCTGGCTGGACGGCTCTGGCGGATCCTGGCTGGACGGCTCTGGCGGATCCTTGCTGGACGGCTCTGGCGGATCCTGGCTAGACGGCTCTGGCGGATCCTGGCTAGACGGCTCTGGCGGATCCTGGCTGGACGGCTCTGGCGGATCCTGGCTGGGACGGCTCTGGCGGATCCTGGCTGGACGGCTCTGGCGGATCCTGGCTGGCTGACGGCTCTGGCGGATCCTGGCTGGCTGACGGATCTGGCTGATCCTGGCTGGCTGACGGATCTGGCTGCTCATGGCTGGCTGACGGATCTGGCTGCTCATGGCTGGCTGACGGATCTGGCTGCTCATGGCTGGCTGACGGATCTGGCTGCTCATGGGCTGGCTGACGGATCTGGCTGCTCATGGCTGGCTGACGGATCTGGCTGCTCATGGCTGGCTGACGGATCTGGCTGCTCATGGCTGGCTGACGGATCTGGCTGCTCATGGCTGGCTGACGGGTCTGGCTGCTCATGGCTGGCTGACGGGTCTGGCTGCTCATGGCTGCTGACGGATCTGGCTGCTCATGGCTGTTGACAGATCTGGCTGCTCATGGCTGGCTGATGGTCTGCTGGGAGGCTGGCGGTGGAGGCGGACCCCAGCCTCGGATTGCAGTCATCACCTCCAGCAGGGCGGCTCCCATCTGCAGGAGCTGCTCTTTCTGGTCCCGAACCTGAGCTTCCAGTCTAGTATGGGCTGCGTCGGCTCCTGCTGATTCCATAGCAGGTGTATGATTCTGTCTGGCGGAAGGCTCTAGCGGCTCCTGTCTGGCGGAAGGCTCTAGCGGCTCCTGTCTGGCGGACGGCTCTGAAGGCTCATGGCAGACGGACGGCTTTGCAGGCTCAGTACAGACGGGCGGCTTATGCAGCGCTTGGCAGACGGGCAGTTCAGACGCCCTAGGGCAGACGGCAGACTCTGGCCGGCTGGGCGACGCACATCGTGGACCTGGTGCGTGGAGTAGGAACAGGCCGGTCCATACCGGGAACACACACCAATGGCCTTAACTGCGGATCAGGAACGGGCCGGACCGGACTGGTAACACACTTCAGTCTCTCATGCCGTGCCACAACAACTTCCCTCCTTCCACTCGCCAATGGCTCCCGTACTCCGTTAGCCTTCTCTCCTTTTCTCCCTGTGGCAGCCTCCTGCTGCCCAGCTGCCCAAGCCATGTGCCCCCCCCCAAAAATTTCTTGGGGTTGCCTCTCTTCCACGGGCTTCCAGCCTCGCCTTCGCGCTGCCCTCCTCGTACCACCTCCTCTCGGCTTTGGCTGCCTCCAGCTCTTCACGAGGGCGGTGATATTCCTCCGGTTGTGCCCAAGGACCCTTTCCAGCCCGAATCTCCTCCCATGTCCAAAAATCCTTAGGAGGCGTCCATAACTCCTGTGTAGGTAGGTCCTGTTGCCGCTTGTTACGCTGCTTGGTCCTTTTGTGGTGGGTTATTCTGTCACGATCGTCTGAAGGAGCGGACCAATACGCAGCGCGTGGAGTGAACATGATGACTTTATTATTTAAAGCAACCACGAAGAAAACAACAAATGACGATACGTGAAGTTCAAATACTGATACAGACTAACAGCAACACAGAAACAATAACCCACAAAACAAAGGAGAAAACACACAGAATATATATGGCTCCCAATCAGAGATAACGAGCCGACAGCTGACACTCGTTACCTCCGATTGGGAGTCATAGACCAATCACCATAGACACAAACAAAATGAAACTCACCCATCCCCAACACCACCAAATGAAATACACCCAAACACATGAAAATGAACAACCCTGGCTCAATTATAAAGTCCATAGAGCCAGAGTGTCACAAAGGTGTTGCTATCTAAGGTGAACACCTCAAAGCTGAATATTTTCCATTGACGTCATGTTGGTGTGAAACCTGTTTTCCTCGATGCTAGACCCTCCTCTTCATGTCACACAACATGGGTTTCAGAGAAAAGGACCACAAGCTGAAAACTTTCCACTCCATCGAACCAATCGCTTTTCGTATGTCCTTTCATGGTAAAGTACATCTAGTCATGAACACGGAAATACGCAGCAAAGACCTTGTTATTCAAAGACCCAGCTACTCTCTGACAGTCACCATCAGACCATCAGACCACCAGATGGACAGGCTGTGTGTTGCTCTGATTGCATTCTTATGTGAGTAACTTGTTTTACTGGGCCTTATAGCTGGATGATAGCTGATTTCTTATGTGGTTTTATAGTTGACTAGATTTGTTATCTTATGATTCTGATATTGTGGTAAAGACATGTTTTACATGTGGAGAAGTTTATGATATCAAAGTGATATTCTGTGATTCATCCAAACACTGTTCCTCTGCTACCTGTAGGTGCTGTTTCCTCCAGTCAGTTCATCCAAACACTGTTCCTCTGCTACCTGTAGGTGCTGTTTCCTCCAGTCAGTTCATCCTAACACTGTTCCTCTGCTACCTGTAGGTGCTGTTTCCTCCAGTCAGTTCATCCTAACACTGTTCCTCTGCTACCTGTAGGTGCTGTTTCCTCCAGTCAGTTCACCCTAACACTGTTCCTCTGCTACCTGTAGGTGCTGTTTCTTCCAGTCAGGATGGGATCTCTGCAGCAGAGGTGGAGCTGAGAGTCAGACCAGGAGACAACATCACTCTCTGTAGTGACTGTAGAACAACACTTGGAATGTACACTGTTTGGTTCAGGAACTGCTCTCATGAGCACCAGCCTCCTCTAGTTGTTACATATTATAACCATTCGTCGTCTCATTTCCTAAATCCTCTCCCTCGGTATATGATGTTATGGAACCGATCTAGTCAGTCCTATGATCTACTGATTGAGAACATCACTGGATCTGACCTGGGACTCTACTACTGTGGGACTAAGGAGGTATTAAACAGAAAGAGGTCTATCACTATGGACATGTCATGAGAAGGCTTTCATTTGGTAAGAACAATGTATTATTCTATCTTCATTTAATGGCTGTATATTTGGTTTTGGTAAAGCATGTCTGGTTTCCTTGAATGAGAGGAGAATGAGGTCTATGATCATTGTTCTCCATTTATAACTGTGTGTTTTGTCCAGATGCCAGAACACCTGATGTAGACTGGACTGTGTTGGATGTTGCTGTTCAGTCTGTGTCCTGTGTCTGCTCTCCTCTCCTCCCTCCTCTCCTCTTCCTGTGTCTACTTCTTCTGCAGAACAACAGGTACACTCACTCACTCACTGTCTGTGAGGAGTCACTTTTTCACTCATTCATTTTTTAAGTCATTATTTAAGCCACCCCGTCTTGCTGTAAGTAATCAAGAAGCCGCCCCCAGGAGAGACAAAGGGTTTAGCCTGAACTCTGTTCAACCCCGGCTCGTTCCCGGGATTTGCCTACGGGGAGCCACAGGGTCACAGTCTGGTTTCAGTCCCTGATAAGATAAGACAACTGTAGAATCTGACCCGAACAAAGGTCAGATGCCCATTTCACACACACACGAACCCAGTGAGAGGAACCAATTCAGTTCTCGCACAGCAACAGCGATCTACCAATCTAAAACCCATATCAATGTAAAAATCCACATCACCAATCAACCATCAATCAATCAATCAAATATTCTTTCAAATTCTCTGGTAAACTAATGTAGACCAGGTTAAATAGACAGTTCAATATCAGATGTGTTCTTTACTTGTTGTTTTAATGGTGATAACTCTTCCTCTGCAGCTGCAGCTGAGACTCAGGTTCCTCTGAACAGGACTACCACCAGGGGAAGTGACAGCAGAGAGAAGGTGTAGTCAGTATGGGTGTTGTAGTTCTTTGACTTGTGGCCATCTCTATTTGTAGTCCATGTTATTTGTAACCCAGTACTCTTCAAAGCAGTGGCAAGTATAGTAATTAAAAACTAAAGGAATTAGCAGTAAAACATAATAATATGATGAATTACATGAAATAATCAATATGTATGATTATATATTAGTAACATTACACAGTTTAGTTTAAGTGTAAAGTTCTCTTTTCTCTCTCTCCTCCTCTCTCTCTCTCTCTCTCTCGCTCGGCTCGCTCTCGCCTCGCTCTCTCTCTCTCTCTCTGCTCTCCTCATCTCTCTCTGCTCCTGCCTCTCTCGCTCCGCGTATCCGACTCTCGCGCGCTCCTCTTCTGCCCTGCTCTCATCCTCCTCTCTCCCTCTCTCTCTCTCTCGCATGGAGGAGGAAGATCTTGTGTTATATGCCCCGTTGGATATCCGTCATGATCCGCATGGAGCAGAGGGGACCAAAGAAGAAGGAAGAGAGTCCAGAACTCCCTGACTTCAGTACCATACCAGCCATCAATACCCAGCAGGAGTGAGACCCTATACCAGCCATTCAATACCAGCAGAGTGTGAGACCTATACCAGCCATCAATACCAGCAGAGTGTGAGACCTATACCAGCCATCAATACCAGCAGAGTGTGAGACCTATACCATCCATCAATACCAGCAGGTGTGAGACCTATACCAGCCATCAATACCAGCAGAGTGTGAGACCTATACCAGCCATCAATACCAGCAGAGTGTGAGACCTATACCAGCCATCAATACCAGCAGAGTGTGAGACCTATACCATCCATAAATACCAGCATAGTGTGAGACTTTAAGCATCATAGACTTAACTGGGAGGACAAGGATTTTGATATTTTTACCAGTTTTTTTTATTTTTGATGGAATAATTTTAACTACCAATATATTTGTCTCTCGCTCAACGTTAATGACAATGAGTTTAGAATTTATTTCTATTATTTTGTATCTTTTTTTGCCTTTTATAATTATTACAATTGATGTTTTTAAGCTTGCATTAATTTGACTGTAGAACGCACCTGCATTGAATCTATCAGAGTAAAATAATATTTTCAAAACTTCAGGAAATATGGTCATATATATTTTTGTAAAGTGAACAGATATGTTTTAAATGTACCTTGAATAAATATTGATTTAGTTTAATTTGATTTACTGATTTTACTTTCATTGCCGTAAGCATTTGGAATTGATTATAAAATTAGGTGTGGTGAAATGTGAAGACACTGCTTGTATCAAAAACAGATAAAGTGACAGCGCTACTTCCAAGACAGATGATCCAAGACTGACTTAGTTTACCCCTATGGAACGTTTTGGTTTTGCCCTAGCACTACACAGCTGAATCAACGCTTGATGATTAACTGATAATTTAAATATTTAAATGTGCACCCCTTGGGGTCCCCAGGACCAAGTTTGGGAAATTCTGCCCTATGGTCTCCTCAATGTTAAGGTTATACCATTCTGTTTGGAAAGGCTCCAGCAACCTTTCAGAGGTTTTTGTTTGAGGGTGTGGCTTAGACAATTAGCAGGTGTGGCTAACATATTAAGAGGGTTGGCTTAGACGTGACAAGGGTGTGACTCTTAGGCTAAGAAGGTGTGGCTTAGATGCTAAGGGGGTGTGTCTGTAGAGGAAGACAGATAATGAACAGAACCACATCACAGTTTCTGTGGTTTCATACAAACACCTAGCCTATGGTTGAAGTTTACTCAAAGTAGCTCAGTAAAGCTTTAAAACACATTCTCAATAGAGTTAAATAGAGAAGTCAGGTGAATTACACCACGGAACATTATGATCTCAGAAAAACATCATTTTATTTTGCAAATATAATTATTATTATATTTTATTATAATTATGTATTTATGGTCTGAGCTGGGTCCTGGTGGTGGTCTCCAGAGCTGTTTCTGTTCCTCATTCCTGCTGTCTTCTGGGTCGGGAACACACACGGTGGGTCAGGACATGGGGATATTCATATCAGTTATTGTTAACTTAACTTCTCATCCAGTACAGTGATATAACAACAGTTTAACATGTTGTGTTGTTGTGTTAAAACCAGGAGTTGGTAAGGAGAAGAGGGAAGTCCAGAAAAGAGGCAGAGACCAGTCATTCTCCATGTCTGTAGTGAATTGAACTTCTCTTCTACGTGTCCAATGAGATCAGCATGAAACTGTTGTCATGTGGTTTCATCACACCATCATCTGCTGGTCTGTCTCATTCTTTCTCTATTACCCAGATGGTTTTTATTGCTTTTAATTTGGTGAACTATTAGTAAGGGCTTAGAGATTGCTTTTGAACGGAGAAAAGGTTTATCCTTTTAAAATTGCAGTTTTTATTTTATATCTATTTTATTTTGTAAAGTTTTTTTACCATTTCAAAAGGTCTACAAAATAGTAGTTGTATTGTAATGGATTTGTTATTTTAGATTGAGCTACTTTTCATGTATGATTTGTATTTGTAATGGTTATCTTCTGGAATGAAATGGCTATTTTTTCAGAGATTCTCCTGTTCTGTGGTATAATCAACCTGATTTCACTATGTAACTCTATTGAGAATGTGGTTTCACTGAAAGCTTTACAGAGCTACATTTAAGACACTTAAAATGTTGAACCATAGGCCACGTCAGGGCTCTCCAACCCTGTTTGTGGAGAGCTACCCTCCTGTAGGTTTTCGCTCCAACCCAACATGACGGTAGCTTTACAGGAACAGGGTTAAAGATTCCAGGGCGACGTGTTTGTATGAAACCACAGAAACTACTGTGGTTCTAATCAACAACGCTGTCTTCCTCTTAAGCCACGCCCCATTAGCTCCTAAAACCACACCCCTTCGGTTCAAAGCCACACCACGTAACATTTAAAACACGCCCCTTAGCCTCCATGCTCTGGTCATGCATATCTGTCATCCTCTAAAGCCACACCCTCTTCGTCTCTAAGCCACACCCTCTTCAGCTCTAAATCACAACTCTTCACATCTAAGCCACACCCTCAAATACCTCAAAGGTTTGCTGGAGAATTTGTCAAACCAAATAGCATGACCTTGTCCTCAGAGACCTTAAGGGGAGACAAAGACATGATGACATGAAATCATATTAAACTGAATCAATATTTGCATTTACATTTATTCAGCTCCATTAACACATATCAATACACTTACAAATGAAATACAATTAATTTACACAACTACAATTACAAAACAACAACTATATCAAGAGCTATTTAACCATATTCCCTGAGCTTAAAAACATTTTCTAAATCAATTTCGTTATTCTTATTAAAAGGCTACAAACAAAAGTAAAAAAAGAAATCACTAGTATGAAACGGTTTAAAACAAGTAAAAAATACATTAAAATATTCCCCCCAAAATTAAGTAACTCTTAAAAATATCAAAACTGTCGTTGTCACACCTTCCCAGCTATATTGGTATAGGTCTCTCACTCTGCTGGTATTGATGGCTGGTATAGGTCTCACACTCTGCTGGTATTGATGGCTGGTATAGGTCTCACACTCTGCTGGTATTGATGGCTGGTATAGGTCTCACACTCTGCTGGTATTGATGGATGGTATAGGTCTCACACTCTGCTGGTATTGATGGCTAGTATAAGTCTCACTCTGCTGGTATTGATGGATGGTACAGGTCTCACACTCTGCTGGTATTGATGGATGGTATAGGTCTCACACTCTGCTGGTATTGATGGCTGGTATAGGTCTCACACTCTGCTGGTATTGATGGCTGGTATAGGTCTCACACTCTGCTGGTATTGATGGCTGGTATAGGTCTCACACTCTGCTGGTATTGATGGCTGGTATAGGTCTCACACTCTGCTGGTATTGATGGATGGTATAGGTCTCACACTCTGCTGGTATTGATGGATGGTATAGGTCTCACACTCTGCTGGTATTGATGGATGGTATAGGTCTCACACTCTGCTGGTATTGATGGCTGGTATAGGTCTCACACTCTGCTGGTATTGATGGCTGGTATAGGTCTCACACTCTGCTGGTATTGATGGCTGGTATAGGTCTCACACTCTGCTGGTATTGATGGATGGTATAGGTCTCACACTCTGCTGGTATTGATGGATGGTACAGGTCTCACACTCTGCTGGTATTGATGGCTGGTATAGGTCTCACACTCTGCTGGTATTGATGGCTGGTATACAGTGGGGAGAACAAGTATTTGATACACTGCCGATTTTGCAGGTTTTCCTACTTACAAAGCATGTAGAGGTCTGTAATTTTTATCATAGGTACACTTCAACTGTGAGAGACGGAATCTAAAACAAAAATCCAGAAAATCACATTGTATGATTTTTAAGTAATTAATTTGCATTTTATTGCATGACATAAGTATTTGATCACCTACCAACCAGTAAGAATTCCGGCTCTCACAGACCTGTTAGTTTTTCTTTAAGAAGCCCTCCTGTTCTCCACTCATTACCTGTATTAACTGCACCTGTTTGAACTCATTACCTGTATAAAAGACACCTGTCCACACACTCAATCAAACAGACTCCAACCTCTCCACAATGGCCAAGACCAGAGAGCTGTGTAAGGACATCAGGGATAAAATTGTAGACCTGCACAAGGCTGGGATGGGCTACAGGACAATAGGCAAGCAGCTTGGTGAGAAGGCAACAACTGTTGGCGCAATTATTAGAAAATGGAAGAAGTTCAAGATGAAGGTCAATCACCCTCGGTCTGGGGCTCCATGCAAGATCTCACCTCGTGGGGCATCAATGGTCATGAGGAAGGTGAGGGATCAGCCCAGAACTACACGGCAGGACCTGGTCAATGACTTGAAGAGAGCTGGGACCACAGTCTCAAAGAAAACCATTAGTAACACACTACGCCGTCACGGATTAAAATCCTGCAGCGCACGCAAGGTCCCCCTGCTCAAGCCAGCGCATGTCCAGGCCCGTCTGAAGTTTGCCAATGACCATCTGGATGATCCAGAGGAGGAATGGGAGAAGGTTATGTGGTCTGATGAGACAAAAATAGAGCTTTTTGGTCTAAACTCCACTTGCCGTGTTTGGAGGAAGAAGAAGGATGAGTACAACCCCAAGACCACCATCCCAACCGTGAAGCATGGAGGTGGAAACATCATTCTTTGGGGATGCTTTTCTGCAAAGGGGACAGAACGACTGCACCGTATTGAGGGGAGGATGGATGGGGCCATGTATCGCGAGATCTTGGCCAACAACCTCCTTCCCTCAGTAAGAGCATTGAAGATGGGTCGTGGCTGGGTCTTCCAGCATGACAACGACCCAAAACACACAGCCAGGGCAACTAAGGAGTGGCTCCGTAAGAAGCAACTCAAGGTCCTGGAGTGGCCTAGCCAGTCTCCAGACCTGAACCCAATAGAACATCTTTGGAGGGAGCTGAAAGTCCGTATTGCCCAGCGACAGCCCCGAAACCTGAAGGATCTGGAGAAGGTCTGTATGGAGGAGTGGGCCAAAATCCCTGCTGCAGTGTGTGCAAACCTGGTCAAGACCTACAGGAAACGTATGATCTCTGTAATTACAAACAAAGGTTTCTGTACCAAATATTAAGTTCTTATTTTCTGATGTATCAAATACTTATGTCATGCAATAAAATGCAAATTAATTACTTAAAAATCATACAATGTGATTTTCTGGATTTTTGTTTTAGATTCCGTCTCTCACAGTTGAAGTGTACCTATGATACAAATTATAGACCTCTACATGCTTTGTAAGTAGGAAAACCTGCAAAATCGGCAGTGTATCAAATACTTGTTCTCCCCACTGTAGGTCTCACACTCTGCTGGTATTGATGGCTGGTATAGGTCTCACACTCTGCTGGTATTGATGGATGGTATAGGTCTCACTCTGCTGGTATTGATGGATGGTATAGGTCTCACACTCTGCTGGTATTGATGGAGGGTATAGGTCTCACACTCTGCTGGTATTGATGGCTGGTATAGGTCTCACACTCTGCTGGTATTGATGGATGGTATAGGTCTCAAACTCTGCTGGTATTGATGGCTGGTATAGGTCTCACACTCTGCTGGTATTGATGGATGGTATAGGTCCCTGGATTGATGGGTATAGGTCTCACACTCTGCTGGTATTGATGGCTGGTATAGGTCTCACACTCTGCTGGTATTGATGGCTGGTATAGGTCTCACACTCTGCTGGTATTGATGGCTGGTATAGGTCTCACACTCTGCTGGTATTGATGGATGGTATAGGTCTCACACTCTGCTGGTATTGATGGATGGTATAGGTCTCACACTCTGCTGGTATTGATGGCTGGTATAGGTCTCACACTCTGCTGGTATTGATGGCTGGTATAGGTCTCACACTCTGCTGGTATTGATGGATGGTACAGGTCTCACACTCTGCTGGTATTGATGGATGGTACAGGTCTCACACTCTGCTGGTATTGATGGATGGTACAGGTCTCACACTCTGCGGGTATTGATGGATGGTACAGGTCTCACACTCTGCTGGTATTGATGGATGGTATAGGTCTCACACTCTGCTGGTATTGATGGATGGTATAGGTATCTCACTCTGCTGGTATTGATGGCTGGTATAGGTCTCTCACTCTGCTGGTATTGATGGATGGTATAGGTCTCACACTCTGCTGGTATTGATGGCTGGTATAGGTCTCACACTCTGCTGGTATTGATGGATGGTATAGGTCTCACACTCTGCTGGTTATGATGGCTGGTATAGGTCTCACACTCTGCTGGTATTGACGGATGGTATAGGTCTCACACTCTGCTGGTATTGATGGATGGTACAGGTCTCACACTCTGCTGGTATTGATGGCTGGTATAGGTCTCACACTCTGCTGGTATTGATGGCTGGTATAGGTCTCACACTCTGCTGGTATTGATGGCTGGTATAGGTCTCACATTCTGCTGGTATTGATGGCTGGTATAGGTCTCACACTCTGCTGGTATTGATGGATGGTATAGGTCTCACACTCTGCTGGTATTGATGGATGTTACAAGTCTCACACTCTGCTGGTATTGATGGATGGTATAGGTCTCACACTCTGCTGGTATTGATGGCTGGTATAGGTCTCTCACTCTGCTGGTATTGATGGATGGTATAGGTCTCGCACTCTGCTGGTATTGATGGATGGTATAGGTCTCACACTCTGCTGGTATTGATGGCTGGTATAGGTCTCACACTCTGCTGGTATTGATGGCTGGTATAGGTCTCACACTCTGCTGGTATTGATGGATGGAATAGGTCTCACACTCTGCTGGTATTGATGGATGGTATAGGTCTCACAATCAGCTGATATTGATGGCTGGTACAGGTCTCACACTCTGCTGGTATTGATGGCTGGTATAGGTCTCACACTCTGCTGGTATTGATGGCTGGTATAGGTCTCACACTATGCTGATATTGATGGATGGTACAGGTCTCACAATCAGCGGGTATTGATGGCTGGTATAGGTCTCACACTCTGCTGGTATTGATGGATGGTATAGGTCTCACAATCTGCTGGTATTGATGGCTGGTACAGGTCTCACACTCTGCTGGTATTGATGCATGGTATAGGTCTCACACTCTGCTGGTATTGATGGATGGTATAGGTATCTCACTCTGCTGGTATTGATGGCTGGTATAGGTCTCTCACTCTGCTGTTATTGATGGCTGGTATAGGTCTCACACTCTGCTGGTATTGATGGCTAGTATAGGTCTCACACTCTGCTGGTATTGATGGATGGTACAGGTCTCACACTCTGCTGGTATTGATGGATGGTATAGGTCTCACACTCTGCTGGTATTGATGGCTGGTATAGGTCTCACACTCTGCTGGTATTGATGGATGGTATAGGTCTCACACTCTGCTGGTATTGATGGATGGTACAGGTCTCACACTCTGCTGGTATTGATGGCTGGTATAGGTCTCACACTCTGCTGGTATTGATGGCTGGTATAGGTCTCACACTCTGCTGGTATTGATGGCTGGTATAGGTCTCACACTCTGCTGGTATTGATGGCTGGTATAGGTCTCACACTCTGCTGGTATTGATGGATGGTATAGGTCTCACACTCTGCTGGTATTGATGGATGGTACAGGTCTCACACTCTGCTGGTATTGATGGATGGTATAGGTCTCGCACTCTGCTGGTATTGATGGCTGGTATAGGTCTCTCACTCTGCTGGTATTGATGGATGGTATAGGTCTCGCACTCTGCTGGTATTGATGGATGGTATAGGTCTCACACTGCTGGTATTGATGGCTGGTATAGGTCTCACACTCTGCTGGTATTGATGGATGGTATAGGTCTTACACTCTGCTGGTATTGATGGCTGGTATAGGTCTCACACTCTGCTGGTATTGATGGATGGTATAGGTCTCACACTCTGCTGGTATTGATGGATGGTATAGGTCTCACAATCTGCTGATATTGATGGCTGGTACAGGTCTCACACTCTGCTGGTATTGATGGATGGTATAGGTCTCACACTCTGCTGGTATTGATGGATGGTACAGGTCTCACAATCTGCGGGTATTGATGGATGGTATAGGTCTCACACTCTGCTGGTATTGATGGATGGTATAGGTCTCACACTCTGCTGGTATTGATGGATGGTACAGGTCTCACACTCTGCTGGTATTGATGGATGGTACAGGTCTCACAATCTGCGGGTATTGATGGATGGTATAGGTCTCACAATCTGCTGGTATTGATGGATGGTATAGGTCTCACACTCTGCGGGTATTGATGGATGTATAGGTACTGAAGTCAGAGTGAGCGAGAGAGCGAGAGAAAGAGAGAGAGACAAGGAGACAGAGAGAGTGAGAGATTAAATTAATAATCTGTTAATATTAATTATATATGATCATACATTAGGATTATACATTATGTATTGTTGCTTTTTTCCTTCTGTTTTTAATGATCATATCTGACATTGAAAATAGTATTTGAATAAGGCTGGGTTGCCAAACACATGGACTACAAATCAAGATGACTACCAAAAATAAAACTACAACACCCACCTTGACTGTAGTCTGCACACTGCTGTCACTTCCCCTGGTCGTAGTCCTGTTCAGAGGAACCTGAGTCTCAGTTGGAGCTGCAGAGGGAGAGTTCTCACCATTAAAACACCACGTTTGAGGTCAAACTAGGACACATCAGTTCAAAGTAAATAGATGTTTACATATTGTGGTCAAGATGCTTTTCAAACGAAGGTTAAAAACATAGCTAATTATTAGAATAATAAGAAAGGTTGATTAGGAATACCCAGACTTAAAAAATGAATGAGTGACTAAGTGACTCCTGACAGAGAGTGAGAGAGTGAGTGTACCTGTTGTTCTGCAGAAGAAGTAGACACAGGAAGAGGAGAGGAGAGCAGACACAGGACACAGACTGAACAGCAACATCCAACACAGTCCACAGTCTACATCAGGAGAGGAGGAGGAGGACTCAGGAGGACTGACGTCTGGACAAAACATTAAACACAAACAGAACTACATTCTTAGATTGTCTACTGCTGAATGGATGTTTAAAGATGATCTTGAGGCAATGTTTTAATTATTATTTAATTATATGTATTATTTATTGATCAGCCTCGGATGATTGATTCAAAATAACATACATTTTCTTTGGCATTCCTTACAACTGAACCTCTCTCATTCAAGGAACCCAGACACACCAATAATAATACAATATGAATAATACTAAAGATACAGCCAGAAGATCTATATATAGAATAATAATTGTTCTTACCAAGTGAAATCCTAGTGGTGATGTTTCCATAGTGGTAGACCTCTTTCTTTCCAATTAGTTTTCCTTCATCCACCAGGTTAGTCTCCACAGTCCCACAGTAGTAGAGTCCCAGGTCAGATCCAGTGATGTTCTCAATCAGTAGATCATAGGAGTTGTTAGAGGGGTTCCACACCACATTATATCCAGGGAAAGGGTTGTTATGCCAAATCGTAGTTGAAATAACAAGACGCGGCTGGTACTTGTGAGAACAGTTCCTATACCACATAATGTATACTCCAGTAGTTATGTTGCAGTCACAGTAGAGAGTGATGTTGTCTCCTGGTCTGACTCTCAGCTCCACCTCTGCTGCAGAGATCCCATCCTGACTGGAGGAAACAGCACCTACAGGTAGCAGAGGAACAGTGTTAGGATGAACTGACTGGAGGAAACAGCACCTACAGGTAGCAGAGGAACAGTGTTAGGATGAACTGACTGGAGGAAACAGCACCTACAGGTAGCAGAGGAACAGTGTTAGGATGAACTGACTGGAGGAAACAGCACCTACAGGTAGCAGAGGAACAGTGTTAGGATGAACTGACTGGAGGAAACAGCACCTACAGGTAGCAGAGGAACAGTGTTTGGATGAACTGACTGGAGGAAACAGCACCTACAGGTAGCAGAGGAACAGTGTTAGGATGAACTGACTGGAGGAAACAGCACCTACAGTTAGCAGAGGAACAGTGTTAGGATGAACTGACTGGAGGAAACAGCACCTACAGGTAGCAGAGGAACAGTGTTAGGATGAACTGACTGGAGGAAACAGCACCTACAGGTAGCAGAGGAACAGTGTTAGGATGAACTGACTGGAGGAAACAGCACCTACAGTTAGCAGAGGACAATGTTAGGATGAACTGACTGGAGGAAACAGCACCTACAGGTAGCAGAGGAACAGTGTTAGGATGAACTGACTGGAGGAAACAGCACCTACAGGTAGCAGAGGAACAGTGTTAGGATTAATCACAGAATGTCACTTTGATATCATAAACTTCTCCACATGGAAAGATGAACCTCGTGTCTTTAACACAGTGATCACAATATCACAATAATAAGATAACAAATCTAGTCAACTATAAAACCACATCAAGAAATCAGCAATCATTCAGCTATAAGGCCCAGTAAAACAAGTTACTCACATAAGAATGCAATCAGAGCAACACACAGCCTGTCCATCTGGTGGTCTGATGGTCTGATGGTGACTGTCAGAGAGTAGCTGGGTCTTTGAGTAACAAGGTCTTTGCTGCGTATTTCCGTGTTCATGGCTTAACATACTTTACCATAAAAGGACATACGAGCAGCGATTGGTTCGATCGAGTGGAAAGTTTTCAGCTTGTGGTCCTTATCTCCTTATCTTGTGTGACATGAAAAGTAGGGTCTACAATCGAGGTAAACAGGCTTCACACCAACATGACGTCAATGGAAAATATTCAGCTTTGAGGTGTTCACCTTAGCAAACCCTTAAGAGACCTATAGACACTCTATGAAGAAATAAAAACACATTTTGATGACTGAGTTGACCTTTAAACCTTGAAGAAAATACATTTGTACAGAGGCTTAAAGTAGGTCTATAGGACTTTATACCTGCAGTCAGAAAGTAGGCCTAATGTTAGACCTAAAGTCTGCATCAGAGACCCAGCTACTCTGACCCTGTTACTGACAGACCCAGCTACTCTGACCCTGTTACTGAAAGACCCAGCTACTTTGACCCTGTTACTGACAGACCCAGCTACTCTGACCCTGTTACTGACAGACCCAGTTACTCCGACCCTGTTACTGAAAGACCCAGCTACTCTGACCCTGTTACTGACAGACCCAGCTACTCTGACCCTGTTACTGAAAGACCCAGCTACTCTGACCCTGTTACTGACAGACCCAGCTACTCTGACCCTGTTACTGACAGACCCAGCTACTCTGACCCTGTTACTGACAGACCCAGCTACTCTGACCCTGTTACTGAAAGACCCAGCTACTCTGACCCTGTTACTGACAGACCCAGCTACTCTGACCCTGTTACTGACAGACCCAGCTACTCTGACCCTGTTACTGACAGACCCAGCTACTCTGACCCTGTTACTGACAGACCCAGCTACTCTGACCCTGTTACTGAAAGACCCAGCTACTCTGACCCTGTTACTGAAAGACCCAGCTACTCTGACCCTGTTACTGACAGACCCAGCTACTCTGACCCTGTTACTGACAGACCCAGCTACTCTGACCCTGTTACTGACAGACCCAGTTACTCTAACCCTGTTACTGACAGACCCAGCTACTCTGACCCTGTTACTGAAAGACCCCAGCTACTCTGACCCTGTTACTGACAGACCCAGCTACTCTGACCCTGTTACTGAAAGACCCAGCTACTCTGACCCTGTTACTGAAAGACCCAGCTACTCTGACCCTGTTACTGACAGACCCAGCTCACTGCTCTTTCCTCAGACCTGAAACCCAGGCCCCCCTTAACCCCTCAGTCCTCCCCTCAGACCTGAAACCCAGCCCCCCCTTAACCCCTCAGTCCTCCCCTCAGACCTGAAACCCAGGCCCCCCTTAACCCCTCAGTCCTCCCCTCAGACCTGAAACCCAGCCCCCCTTAACCCCTCAGTCCTCCCCTCAGACCTGAAACCCAGGCCCCCCCTTAACCCCTCAGTCCTCCCCTCAGACCTGAAACCCAGGCCCCCCTTAACCCCTCAGTCCTCCCCTCAGACCTGAAACCCAGGCCCCCCTTAACCCCTCAGTCCTCCCCTCAGACCTGAAACCCAGGCCCCCCTTAACCCCTCAGTCCTCCCCTCAGACCTGAAACCCAGGCCCCCCTTAACCCCTCAGTCCTCCCCTCAGACCTGAAACCCAGGCCCCCCTTAACCCCTCAGTCCTCCCCTCAGACCTGAAACCCAGGCCCCCCTTAACCCCTCCCCTACAGAGCAGAAGCACTAGCTGAGTAAACCACAACCACAGACATAGGACTATACATGATATACAATCATATGGACACTCTCCCATATACCCACATATATGTGCACTCATGTAAACAGATACATACATTGACCACTACTAATGTTGGTAAGTCTGATATTATGATGTTGGCATTACAGTACTCATATAAGAGCTAGTCACTGATTGGCTGCGAAGACACACTCAGTACACAGGAAACCCACACTGACATCCTGTTGCAGTTGCCATGGTGATGTCTGTCTCTCTGTTTGTCTGTTTGTCTGTCTACCATTTGGCCTGAGGAAGAGAGTACATCCAAGTTATAAGTAGTCGTTCACCCGTGGTGCTGCTATTCTCCTGATGATGTCACACATGTTCTCACTGAGTGCATCATATCTCTGTCTATGTCCTATTTGTTTTCCCACTAATCCTGAAGAAAAAGAGATTGTTAGATACAGAACTACATCCACAAAGATAAAGAACTACAAATGGCATAGCTCTTAAACTATAATTGACTTGAATGTACCATCACATCCTCTCTAGAGCATCATGGTTATTGTAGTTTCTGATTGTAATTTCTTGCTGCATTCAATTCAGGGTGTCCAACATTGGTGAGGCCTAGATGTGTGGTGGATAAATAATAATTTTGGGATGCCTCAATTAGCTCATACAGATCATGGTGAGGATTTAAATGTTATGATTATTGGATGTTCATCATTTGATAAATCAAACATTAATACTGGCAGGATGCAGATATATATAGGCCAACCTTAGGTCTCTGTCTCAGGATAGGTCTCTGTCTCAGGATAGGTCTCTGTCTCAGGATAGGTCTCTGTCTCAGGATAGGTCTCTGTCTCAAGATAGGTCTCTGTCTCAGGATAGGTCTCTGTCTCAGGATAGGTCTCTGTCTCAGGATAGGTCTCTGTCTCAAGATAGGTCTCTGTCTCAGGATAGGTCTCTGTCTCAAGATAGGTCTCTGTCTCAAGATAGGCCTCTGTCTCAAGATAGGTCTATTCCATATAACAATGGATGTTATCTGGTCCCTCATACAGCCTGTTAATACTACACTTGATACCATGCATACCTGGAGAAATATTACATATTATTAGATAATAATATAGTCATACAAACACGCAAGCAGGCATGCATGCTCACACACACACTTATGAGAAGGTACAGAGTGGCTGGCCAAGCAGTTGACACATCACGTGTCAAGTAGATGGAAACATTGTGGTTTCTACAGACCTGAAAACTACCCCACAGAACTGAAGCATAGGCCCCATTAACCCATCAGACCTCAGGCCCGCTTAACACACAAAAAGGACTAGGCATGCATATGCAATCATATGCACACACACTCACATAACCCCTCAGTCCTCCCCACATACCTGAAACCCAGGCCCCCCTTAACCCCTCAGTCCTCCCCTCAGACCTGAAACCCAGGCCCCCCTTAACCCCTCAGTCCTCCCCTCAGACCTGAAACCCAGGCCCCCCTTAACCCCTCAGTCCTCCCCTCAGACCTGAAACCCAGGCCCCCCTTAACCCCTCAGTCCTCCCCTCAGACCTGAAACCCAGGCCCCCCTTAACCCCTCAGTCCTCCCCTCAGACCTGAAACCCAGCCCCCCTTAACCCCTCAGTCCTCCCCACAGACCTGAAACCCAGGCCCCCCTTAACTCCTCAGTCCTCCCCTCAGACCTGAAACCCAGGCCCCCCTTAACCCCTCAGTCCTCCCCACAGACCTGAAACCCAGGCCCCCCTTAACTCCTCAGTCCTCCCCTCAGACCTGAAACCCAGCCCCCCCTTAACCACTCAGTCCTCCCCTCAGACCTGAAACCCAGGCCCCCCTTAACCCCTCAGTCCTCTCCTCAGACCTGAAACCCAGCCCCCCTTAACCCCTCAGTCCTCCCCTCAGACCTGAAACCCAGGCCCCCCTTAACCCCTCAGTCCTCCCCTCAGACCTGAAACACAGGCCCCCCTTAACCCCTCAGTCCTCCCCTCAGACCTGAAACCCAGGCCCCCCTTAACCCCTCCCCTACAGAGCAGAAGCACTAGCTGAGTAAACCACAACCACAGACATAGGACTATACATGATATACAATTATATGGACACACTCCAATATATCCACATATATGTGCACTCATGTAAACAGATACATACATTGACCACTACTAATGTTGGTAAGTCTGATATTATGACGTTGACATTACAGTACTCATATAAGAGCTAGTCACTGATTGGCTGAAAAGACACACTCAGTACACAGGAAACCCACACTGACTTCCTGTTGTTCAGAGTAGCTGGGTCTTTCAGTAACAGGGTCAGAGTAGATGGGCCTTTCAGTAACAGGGTCAGAGTAGCTGGGTCCGTCAGTAACAGGGTCAGAGTAGCTGGGTTTTTCAGTAACAGGGTCAGAGTAGCTGGGTCTTTCAGTAACAGGGTCAGAGTAGCTGGGTCTGTCAGTAACAGGGTCAGAGTAGCTGGGTCTTTCAGTAACAGGGTCAGAGTAGCTGGGTCTTTCAGTAACAGGGTCAGAGGAGTAGCTGGGTCTTTCAGTAACAGGGTCAGAGTAGCTGGGTCTGTCAGTAACAGGGTCAGAGTAGCTGGGTCTTTCAGTAACAGGGTCAGAGTAGCTGGGTCTTTCATTAGGCCTACTTTCTGACTACAGGTATAAAGTCCTATAGACCTACTTTAAGCCTCTGTATAAATGTATTTTCTTTAAGGTTTAAAGGTCAACTCAGTCATCAAAATGTGTTTTTATTTCTTCATAGAGTGTCTATAGGTCTCTTAAGGTGTTGCTATCTAAGGTGAACACCTCAAAGCTGAATATTTTCCATTGACGTCATGTATGTGTGAAGCCTGTTTACCTCGATTGTAGACCCTACTTTTCATGTCACACAACATCGGTTTCCGAGAAAAGGACCACAAGCTGAAAACTTTCCACTCCATCGAACCAATCGCTGCTCGTATATCCTTTCATGGTAAAGTATGTCAAATCATGAACACGGAAATACGCAGCAAAGACCTTGTTACTCAAAGACCCAGCTACTCTCTGACAGTCACCATCAGACCATCAGACCACCAGATGGACAGGCTGTGTGTTGCTCTGATTCCATTCTTATGTGAGTAACTTGTTTTACTGGGCCTTATAGCTGAATGATAGCTGATTTCTTGATGTGGTTTTATAGTTGACTAGATCTGTTATCTTATTATTGAGATATTGTGATGTTTGCTATATTTTTACATGCAGAGAACTTTATGATGAACCAAATGGCAATGTGTAGTTCTTCCTAACACTGTTCCTCTGCTACCTGTAGGTGCTGTTTCCTCCAGTCAGTTCATCCTAACACTGTTCCTCTGCTACCTGTAGGTGCTGTTTCCTCCAGTTAGTTCATCCTAACACTGTTCCTCTGCTACCTGTAGGTGCTGTTTCCTCCAGTCAGTTCATCCTAACACTGTTCCTCTGCTACCTGTAGGTGCTGTTTCCTCCAGTCAGTTCATCCTAACACTGTTCCTCTGCTACCTGTAGGTGCTGTTTCCTCCAGTCAGTTCATCCTAACACTGTTCCTCTGCTACCTGTAGGTGCTGTTCCCTCCAGTCAGTTCATCCTAACACTGTTCCTCTGCTACCTGTAGGTGCTGTTTCCTCCAGTCAGGATGGGATCTCTGCATCAGAGGTGGAGCTGAGAGTCAGACCAGGAGACAACATCACTCTCTACTGTGACTGCAACATAACTACTGGAGTATACATTATGTGGTATAGGAACTGTTCTCACAAGTACCAGCCACCTCTTGTTATTTCAACTACGATTTGGCATAACCCTTTCCCTGGATATAATGTGGTGTGGAACCCCTCTAACAACTCCTATGATCTACTGATTGAGAACATCACTGGATCTGACCTGGGACTCTACTACTGTGGGACTAAGGAGACTAACGTGGTGGAAGAAGGAAAAGGAGGTATTACACAGAAAGGGGAAACTACATTAATTGAACAGAAAGAGGTCTACCACTATGGAAACATCACCACTAGGATTTCACTTGGTAAGAACAATTATTATTCTATATATAGATCTTCTGGCTGTATCTTTAGTATTATTCATATTGTGTTATTATTGGTGTGTCTGGGTTCCATTAAATGTTATTTTGAATCAATCATCCGAGGGTGATCTAAGGCCATGAAACATTGCCTCAAGATCATCTTTAAACATCCATTCAGCAGTAGACAATCTAAGAATGTAGTTCTGTTTGTGTTTAATGTTGTGTCCAGACGTCAGTCCTCCTGAGTCCCCCTCCTCCTCTCCTGATGTAGACTGTGGACTGTGTTGGATGTTGCTGTTCAGTCTGTGTCCTGTGTCTGCTCTCCTCTCCTCCCTCCTCTCCTCTTCCTGTGTCTACTACTTCTGCAGAACAACAGGTACACTCACTCTCTCACGCTCTATGTCAGGATTCAACTTTTCACTCATTCATTTTTTAAGTCATTATTTAAGACACCCCGTCTTGCTGTAAGTAATCAAGAAGCCGCCCCCAGGAGAGACAAAGGGTTTAGCCTGAACTCTGTTCAACCCCGGCTCGTTCCCGGGATTTGCCTACGGGGAGCCACAGGGTCACAGTCTGGTTACAGTCCCTAATAAGATAAGACAACTGTAGAATCTGACCCGAACACAGGTCAGATGCCCATTTCACACACACACGAACCCAGTGAGAGGAACCAATTCAGTTCTCGCACAGCAACAGCGATCTACCAATCTAAAACCCATATCAATGTAAAAATCCACATCACCAATCAACCATCAATCAATCAATCAAATATTCTTTCAAATTATCTGGTAAACTAATGTAGACCATGTTAAATAGACAGTTCAATATCAGATGTGTTCTTTACTTGTTGTTGTAATGGTGATAACTCTTCCTCTGCAGCTGCAGCTGAGACTCAGGTTCCTCTGAACAGGACGACCACCAGGGGAAGTGACAGCAGAGAGAAGGTGTAGTCAGTATGGGTGTTGTAGTACTTTGACTGGTGGCCATATCTATTTGTAGTCCATGTTATTTGTAACCCAGTACTCTTCAAAGCAGTGGCAAGTATACTAATTAAAAACTAAAGGAATAAGCAGTAAAACATAATAATATGATGAATTACATGAAATAATCATAATGTATGATTATATATTAGTAACATTAACAGATTAATTGTAAAGTCTCTTTCTCTCTCCTCTCTCTCTCTCTCTCTCTCTCTCTCTCTCTCTCTCTCTCTCTCTCTCTCTCTCTCTGGAGGAAGGAGATCTGTGTTATGCCTCGTTGGATATCCGTCAGACACAGAGGAGACCAAAGAAGAAGAAGAGAGTCCAGAACTCTGACTTCAGTACCTACACAGCCATCAATACCAGCAGAGTGTGAGACATATACCAGCCATCAATACCAGCAGAGTATGAGACCTATACCAGCCATCAATACCAGCATAGTGAGACCTATACCAGCCATCAATGCCAGCAGAGTGAGACCTATACCAGCCATCAATACCAGCATAGTGTGAGACTTTAAGCATCATAGACTTAACTGGGAGGACAAGGATTTTGATGTTTTTACCAGTTGTTTTATTTTTGATGGAATAATTTTAACTTCCAATATATTTGTCTCTCGCTCAACGACAATGACAATGAGTTTAGAATTTATTTGTATTATTTTGTATATTTTTTTGCCTTTTATAATTATTACAATTTATGTTTTTAAGCTTGCATTAATTTAACTGTAGAACGCACCTGCATTGAATCTATCAGAGTAAAATAATATTTTCAAAACTTCAGGAAATATGGTCATATATCTTTTTGTAAAGTGAACTGATATGTTTTAAATGTACCTTGAATAAATATTGATTTAGTTTAATTTGATTGACTGATTTTACTTTCATTGCCGTAAGCATTTAGAATTGATTACAAAATTAGGTGTGGTGAAATGTGAAGACACTGCTTGTATCATTTACATTTTACATTTTAGTCATTTACCAGACACTCTTATCCAGAGCGACTTACAGGAGCAATTAGGGTTAAGTGCCTTGCTCAAGGGCACATTTACGTCATTTAGCAGACGCTCTTATCCAGAGCGACTCACTAATTGGTGCATTCACCCTATAGCCAGTGTGATAACCACTTTACAATTTTTGGAGGGGGGGGGGGGGGTAGAGGGATTACTTTATCCTATCCCATGTATTCCTTAAAGAGGTGGGGTTTCAAATGTCTCCGGAAGGTGGTGAGTGACTCCGCTGTCCTGGCGTCGTGAGGGAGCTTGTTCCACCATTGGGGTGCCAGAGCAGCGAACAGTTTTGACTGGGCTGAGCGGGAACTGTGCTTCCGCAGAGGAAGGGGAGCCAGCAGGCCAGAGGTGGATGAACGCAATGCCCTCGTTTGGGTGTAGGGACTGATCAGAGCCCGAAGGTACAGAGGTGCCGTTCCCCTCACTGCTCCATAGGCAAGCACCATGGTCTTGTAACGGATGCGAGCTTCAACTGGAAGCCAGTGAAGTGTGCGGAGGAGGGGGGTGACGTGAGAGAACTTGGGAAGGTTGAACACCAGACGGGCTGCGGCATTCTGGATGAGTTGTAGGGGTTTAATGGCACAGGCAGGGAGGCCATTAAAAGAGATAATGTGACAGCGCTACTTGCAAGACAGATGATCCAAGAGTGACGTAGTTTAACCCTATGGAACGTTTTGGTTTTTTAAATGTGCACCCCTTGGGGTCCGCAGGACCAAGTTTGGGAAATTCTGCCCTATGGTCTCCTCAATGTTAAGGTCATACCATTCTGTTTGGAAAGGCTCCAGCAACCTTTCAGAGGTTTTTGTTTGAGGGTGTGGCTTAGACAATTAGCAGGTGTGGCTAACATATTAAGAGGGTTGGCTTAGAAGTGACAAGGGTGTGACTCTTAGGCTAAGAAGGTGTGTCTTAGATGCTAAGGGGGTGTGTCTTTAGAGGAAGACAGATGCTGAACAGAACCACAGCACAGTTTCTGTGGTTTCATACAAACACCTAGCCCATGGTTGAAGTTTACTAAAAGTAGCTCAGTAAAGCTTTCAACCACATTCTCAATAGAGTTACATAGAGAAGTCAGGTGAATTATACCACAGAACATTATAATCTCTGAAAAACACAATTTCATTTCAACATATATATATATATATGATTATTTATTAATATTATTTATTCATGGTCTGAGCTGGGTCCTGGTGGTGGTCTCCAGAGCTCTGTTTCTGTTCCTCATTCCTGCTGTCTTCCTGACTGTGGTCTGAGCTGGGTCCTGGTGGTGGTCTCCAGAGCTCTGTTTCTGTTCCTCATTCCTGCTGTCTTCCTGACTGTGGTCTGAGCTGGGTCCTGGTGGTGGTCTCCAGAGCTCTGTTTCTGTTCCTCATTCCTGCTGTCTTCCTGACTGTGGTCTGAGCTGGGTCCTGGTGGTGGTCTCCAGAGCTCTGTTTCTGGTCCTCACTCCTGCTGTCTTCCTGACTGTGGTCTGAGCTGGGTCCTGGTGGTGGTCTCCAGAGCTCTGTTTCTGTTCCTCATTCCTGCTGTCTTCCTGACTGTGGTCTGAGCTGGGTCCTGGTGGTGGTCTCCAGAGCTCTGTTTCTGTTCCTCATTCCTGCTGCCTTCTGGGTCGGGAACACACACGGTGGGTCAGGACATGGGGATACTCATATCTGTTTGTTATCAGAACTCAGGATAAGACCCAGATGCAGACAGTTCGAATCACAGATGTTTATTAACAGAACAGGGGGCAGCAGACGACAGGTCAAGGGCAGGCAGAGGTCGGTAATCCAGGGCAGAGTCAGTAAAATACAGAACGGCAGGCAGAGGTTGGTAATCCAAGGCAGAGACAGAAAGATACAGAACGGCAGGCAGAGGTCGGAAATCCAGGGCAGAGACAGTAAAATACAGAACGGCAGGCAGAGGTCGGTAATCCAGGGCAGAGTCAGTAAAATACAGAACGGCAGGCAGAAGTCGGTAATCCAGGGCAGAGACAGTACGATACAGAACGGCAGGCAGGGTCAGGATAGGGCAGGCAGAGTAGGCTTGACGAGACAAGAGGAGACAGAGGGCTGTGAGACAGAGGTTTACAATCCTTGATACATGAAAAGTGGGATGTATACGGAGGGTGCTGGGCAACAGAAGACGAACAGCAGAGGGGCTAAGGATCTTAGAGATGGGGAAAGGTCCGATAAAATGGGGGGAAAGTTTGCTGGACTCCACCCGAAGGGGCAGATCCCGAGTGGACATCCATACCCTCTGCCCGAGACGATAACGGGGAGCCGGGGTCCGGTGGCGGTCCGCCTGTCATCGATACCTGGAGGGGGTCTTGAGAAGAGCAGACCGGGCTCTCTTCTAGGTACGGCCACAGCTCAGGGAAGAGCGTGGGGCTGATAACCCATCGAACACTCGAAAGGCGAGAGACCAGTGGCTGAGCAGGGGAGGGTGTTGCGTGCGTATTCTACCTACACAAGTTGCTGGCTCCAGGTGTTGAACCGGGTGAACAGCAGGGCCCATCGAGCTAGCCTGGAGTTAAGCCGCTTGGTGGTGTGCAGATATTCCAGGTTCTTGTGATCCGTCCACACAATGAATGGATGTTCCGCCCCCTCTAACCAGTGCCCCCACTCCTCCAATGCCATCTTCACCACGAGTAGTTCTCGATTCCCCACATCATAATTCCTCTCCTTGGCGTTAAGACGATGGGAGAAGAAGGAGCAGGGATGCAGCTTAAGGTCCAGGGCAGAACACTGGGACAGGACGGCCCCAACTCCAACATCCAAAGGGTCTACCTCCACCACGAACTGAAGGGACGGGGTCCGGATGGATTAATATGGGAGCTGTGGTGAAGCGGTGCTTAAGGTCCAGGAACTCCCGGTCAGCAGCTGGGGACTACGTGAACGGGACCATGGGAGAGGTGAGTGCTGAAAGGGGGGAATTCAGGGTGCTGTAACCAGGGTGCTGTAACCAGGGTGCTGTAACCAGGGGTGCGAAGGTGAATGGAAAGATACTGGAGCGACAAACCGCCCTTGCTGTCTCTGTCTGGCCGGTTCCCGTCTCTCCATTGGGATTCTCTGCTTCTGACCCCTTTTTTTGGAGGCTGAGTCACTGGCTTACTGGTGCTTTCCATGCCGTCCCTAGGAGGGGTACGTTACTTGAGTGGGTTGAGTCACTGACGTGATCTTCCTGTCCAGTTTGTCGCCCCCTCGGGCTCATGCAGTGGAGGAGATCTTTGTGGGCTATTCTCAGCCTTGTCTCAAGGTAGTAGGTTGGTGGTCTGTTGATATCCCTCTGGTGGTGTGGGGGCTGTGCTTTGGCAAAGTGGGTGGGGTTATATCCTGCCTGGTTGGCCCTGTCTGGGGGTATCGTTGGACGGGGCCACAGTGTCTCCCGACCCCCCCTGTCTCAGCCTCCAGTATCTATGCTGCAATAGTCTATGTGCCGGGGGGCTAGGGTCAGTCTGTTATATCTGGTGTTATTCTCCTGTCTTATCCGGTGTCCTGTGTGAATTTAAGTATGCTCCCTCTAATTCTCTCTCTCTCCCTCCCATCCCGGAGGACCTGAGCCCTAGGACCATGCCTCAGGACTACCTGGCCTGATGACTCCTTGCTGTCCCCAGTCCACCTGGTCGTGCTGCTGCTCCAGTTTCCAACTCTTCTGCCTGCGGCTATGGAACCCTGACCTGTTCACCGGACGTGCTACCTTGTCCCAGACCTGCTGTTTTCAACTCTCTCCGCTCTACCGCACCTGCTATTTCAACCTCTAAATGCCCGGCTATGAAAAGCCAAGTGACATTTACTCCTGATGTACTGACCTGTTGCAACCTCTACAACCGCTGTGATTATTATTTGACCCTGCTGGTCATCTATGAACGTTTGAACATCTTGGAGAAAAATCAGGCCTTAATGACCATGTACTGTTATAATCTCCACAGCCAGAAGGGGACTGGCCCCCCCTCAGAACATGGTTCCTCTCTAGGTTTTTT